GATTTTTTTCACTGCATCAGTCCCTTTAATATGAGTAGTCCCACTGGCTTCAGAAGATCTACTCGCTTGAGTACAGTTTGTAGGAATGAGCTCAGAATATTTTTTAAAAATGGACAAGGACAAAAGATTAGTCAATCATAAAAGTGTAGCTTTTAAGAGAATTGTTTTAAGGAGAATTGGACAGGAGCCCAACTACGGAGACAACTTGGACAACTATGAAGTTTATGTTACTTTTAAAAAGTCATCAGTAATTTTGGTGCTTATGAAATTGCGGGCGTTGGTTTGAGTCAGGCATGTTGCAAGCAGATGTTGTGGAACCTTCCCCAAATAGCCCTGCCAATACACTGCAATCATAATCTGTAACATTCTGTGTAATTGTATTCTGGAGCTTTTCTTGATCATAGACTGCTTGTTCAGCCAAGATGTGTGATGTTTTTGTGAAGCATACAAAAAAGCAGGAGGAGACCATAACATGTCTTTGCTTTTTGTCCCATCCAGAATTTGAACCCAGTGTCTCCAAAAGTGAAATATTATTGAACTAATCCACTACACTATCAAGACAGTATGGGAAAAGTACATTATCTGCCATCAACTGTGATACTAGCTCCCCTCACCCAAATTATATTCTGGTCCAGGCCCCACCATACATTTGGTAGGGAACATTTCTCTTCTGTCCTGCAGCTCCTGTCACCTTTCAGGAAGACTCAATATATATATGAAAAAGAAAGAAAATACAACAAAACTCAGCTCACTGAGTATAACAACACTTCTCAAACTAAATTTTTTTAAAGGTCCTTTGTGGTTTTACACAATAGATAAGAGCATGTTTGAGGTAAAGTTGCTAGAGCAGACTGAAAGTTCTGAAAATGGGAATCTCAAATGAGACAATCAGAATAATTTCCAATCCCCAGCACACATCATCACTTGATTAGACTTCTGTACCTGGTAAAAGTGCAAGCAAGATATAAAGTTTATTGTGATTTTTGGATGATATACAATAGTTAATTACTCAGATATATTTGAAACCTAACCCAGGATAGGTGAAGGGATTGGAGAAAATAATCATTATGTTTGAAAATCTGGGTAGATCACTTTTTTTGTAAATATCTGACTTCATATTTTATATGAATATGGCTTCATATTTTGTAATTTTTTTTAAAAACATGTCTGGCCACATGTTTTCAGAAGATTTTCTAACTATGATATAAAGATGATGGGGATTATGTAGAAAAAGCAGAATCCCATCTGCATATAAGCAGTTTTTCTCTTTGTTTTATATCTCAAATAATACTGCAATTTCAGTCTCAAAAGCATTTTAAAAATATTGATTAATGTACCCCAACAACAACTGTGTGCCATGTGATGGTAAATTTTAGTATCTTTATTTTACAGTTAGGGAAACAGAACACATTGAAACAAATTGCCTAGTAGCACCAAACAAGTCAGTGTCTGAACTAGAATTAAACTCCAGAAATGTGTTACTTACAATTCTGTGTTCACAACTCCAACCATACTTCTTTCTTGAAGCCCTGGGTTTGTGACTGTATCTGAACTGTGACAGCTATGTGTTCAACAGGAGGCAAAAAATAGTGGTGAGAGAGAAGGGGATCTAATTGCATATACCTCACATCAATGAAAAGGGATTAGATGGTATCCTATTAATAGTCTGCAAAACACTTTGGCCTCCAACATGTTATAGCAGATTTTATTTTCTCCCCTCTCCAAGGAGCTTTATTGGGTCCAGTATAAAAGTACATCAATAAGATAAAAATTAGCATTCCCAATACAGCACAATAAACATCAAACATGGTCTGAGGCTACCTGCCAAAAAATTCAGAAACTTATCTGGGACTTGTACAACCAGCAAGACAAGTAGCCCATTTAGTCTGAGGCTTGGTTTACACTACAGAGGTAGGCTGATGTAAAGCAGTTTATGTCGACCTAACTCTGTAAGTGTCTACACCATATGTCAGCAACCTATGGTACGTGTGCCAAAGACGGCAGGCGAGCTGATTTTTAATGGCATGCTGCTGCCTGCCAGGTCCCAGCCGCCGGCCCCGCTCAGCCTGCTGCCTAACCCAGGCCGGGACCCCAGCAGGCAGCAGCTGTGCCATTAAAAATCCTGCCCGCCGTGGCCCGCTCTTCTCCGGCCTCCCCCCCACGGGGGCAGGGTGAAGAAGCTTGGTCCTGCTGGCTCTCGCCGCAGGGCAGGCAAGGTTTCTCCCTCCCCCTTCATGCTGGGTTCCTGCCCCGCCTCCTCTCCCTCCCTGCCACCGATCAGCTGATGGCCCTTGCGAGGGAGGGGGAGAAGCGGAGCCGCAGCCTGCTCACTGCTCCAGGGAGGAGGCGGAGAAGAGGTGGGGATGGGGCCTTGGGGAATGGGGGGGTGGGGTGGAATCAGGGCTTATCCCCTCCAGCCCCCTGCCGTGAGCCACTCTGGGCAGGGGGCTGGGAGCACCCCCACGACCCTAGCCCACACCCCCAGCCCTCTGCTCTGACACCTGCACACCCCTCACACACACCCAGCCCTCTGCCCTGGATCCTGCATCCCCCACAACCCCAGCCTTGACTCCAGCACCCCCCACACCCCAACTCCTGCACCCCCTTAACATGTGCCCAGCCCTCTGCCCTGACTCCTGCACCCTCCTCACATACCCCCAGCTCTCTGCCCTGATCCCGGCACCCTTCCCCCCTCCCCTGACCCCGGCACCCCCCTCACATACACCCAGCCCTCTGCCCTGACCCCTGCAACCCCCCCACATCCCAGCCTCCTGCCCTGATTCCTGCACCCCCCCACAACCCCAGCCTTTACTCCAGCACCCCCCACACATATCCAGCCTCCCCACACCCCATGCCCTGACTCCTGCACCCTCCTCACACACACCAGCCCCCAGCCCTGACTCCTGCAACCCGCATACATACCCAGCCCCACCACACTCCATGCCCTGACTCTTGCACCCCCCACATTCTCACCCCCACCCTGAGCACCAAACGGGAGCTCCTGCACCCCCCCCATTCCTGCCTGCACTCCTCGCACCAAATGGGAGCTTCCCAGGTAAGCACTCCACACCCAAACCTCCTGCCCCAACCCTGAGCCTCCTCCCTTATTCAAGCTCCTGGCCAGACCCTACACCCCAACCCCCAGCCTGCTCCTTCACCCGCAGCTCTGTGCTCAGTGCACTCCCACCCTCAGCTCAGTGCAGAGAGAGAGAGGAAGAGAATGGGCAAGAAGCAGGGAGAAGGTAGGTACCCATTCTATGTGCGCAGGGCTGGGATCCCAGGCCAGTAGTGGGCTGAGCAGGGCTGGCAGCCGGGACCCTGGCTGACAGGAGCCGGCGGACGGAACCCCAGACTGGCAGCAGGCTGAGTGGCAGCAGGCTGAGCTGCTCAACCCACTGCTGGTCTGGGGTCCCGGACGCTGGCCCCACTCAGCCTGCTGCCTGTCTGGGGTTCTGGCTGCCAGCCCCTTGCCAGCCGGGGTCCCAGCAGCAGGCCCCGCTCAGTCTGCTGCCAGCCTAGGTGAACGGAACCCCAGGCAGGCAGCGGGCTGAGCGGGCCGGCGGCGTAAGATCAGCATTTTAATTTAATTTTAAATGAAGCTTCTTAAACATTTTGAAAACCTTGTTTACTTTATATATGACAATAGTTTAGTTATATAATATATAGACTTATAGAGAGAGACCTTCTAAAAAACGTTAAAATGTATTACTGGCATGCAAAACCTTAAATTAAAGTGAATAAATGAAGACTCGGCACACCACTTCTGAAAGGTTGCCGACCCTGGTCTACACTAAAATATAGCTCCCACTGATGTAGCTCGCTCACTTCACCAACTTAATAACTCCACCTCTACGAGATGGTTAGCACTTAAGTCGATGTAGTTAGGTTAATGCAGTGTCAGTTTCTGCCTTTCAGAAACTGTCCCACAATGCACCACACTGGCAGTTAACTTGACGCAAGCACTTCTGGTGAGGACGCACACTGCTGACACAAGGATTGTAGTGTGGAGATGTTTAACCGATTCAATTACTGTGGTGGCTGTACATCGACATAACTTAGGCCAACTTAATTTTGTAGTGTACACTTGTCCTGACTATTGAGAGAATTTCTTAATAGTGCAACTTATTAGACTATGGCATAGTTTCCACAGAAAATGGTGGAAGTCCCATCCTTGGAATGACTTAAAATAAACTACTTGACTGACTAAATTTTTTGCAAGTTTTGGTCTTTATACGGAAGCACCACTCTCCTGGTTGACATGCAGCCACCCCTTGGATAAGACACAGCAGTCTTTTAACGAAACACAGCAATGCTACACAAAAGTTCAAATCTCCTGCATGGCATTGTCATTTATTCTTTGTGCCTCCTTCCTCATCTATAAATAAGGATAATACTCCCTTTGTCTGTCTGTATTTAGACTGTAAGGTCTTACTTTGAGGCAAAGGCTCACTTATGTGTATGAACAACACATAGAGCATTCATGGTCTTAATCTAGGCTTGGGTTTCTAGATGCCACTGCAATGCAAATAATGAAATAAGGGCTGGATGGGGAGAGGCAGTTCGATGATCTATAGACTAGGACACTGGAGTGGGAGGCAGGACATTTAGGGTATAATCCCATCCATGTACCTCAGTTTCCCCATTGGCAAAATGGGGAGGGTGCTCCTGACCCCCTTTGTAAAGCACTTTGAAAAGAGCGAGGCATGATTCCCCCGGATTCCCCCTGCTGTTCACACAGCCTCAGAGTCTGTGCAGCGGGCGTCTCAGGAAGCCTGTTGCGCACACCCCTGAGCAGGCAATGGCAGCAGGCAGCTAGAATCCCCCCTCCCCCACCCTTTGGCTGCAGGCCCGCACAGCCCCCGCCCTCAGGGGAGCTCTGGGCACTAGGGCTGACTCTGAGCCAGCCACTCTCCTCCCCTCCCCCTGCCGCACGCAGAGCAGAGCCCATAGAGCGCGCGGCGCCGTGCTAGAGAGTACCCAGCAGGGGCCGCCGGGCTTGCGCAGCGGCACAGCGCCCCCAAGCGGCCGCCAGCGGCCTCGCGGAGACCGAGCAGAGAAAGGGAGAGGGAGAGTAATGGCGGCCAGTTAGTGGGTGACTGAGCCGAGAAGACGGCGGCGAACTCGGCGAGCTCGGTGTGTCTCTCTGCCCAGCCGCCCCGCTCCCCGGGAGGAGGCGCCCCGCAGCCCTCCCTCCGCGGCGGCGGCTCCCCGCGCCCGCCTTCGCCGGGGCCATGGTGAACACCAGGAAGAGCTCCCTGCGCCCCCTGGGCAAAGCGGCGGCCGCCGCGGCCGGAGCCGGCAGCCATTTCATCTCGTCCCGGACCCGCTCCTCCAAGAGAGGCACCAAGGCCGGGCTAGAGGAGGCGGCGGCGGCCCGGGTGAGGGAAGCGCGGGGGCCGGAGAAGGGCTGGGAGGGCACCGCTGCTGCCTCTGTCGGGGCCGGCGGGGGAGGGGGTAGAGGCAGGGCTGGGCAGACGGGGCGGGGGGCACCGGCGCGGCTGTCTCTGCCCGGGGTGGGGGAGTGACTGGGGAGCCGGCGGCAGGGGCGAGGGGATCCGCCCCCCCCTCGGCAGTGCGGGGGTGGGGCGGTGAGGGCGAGCGGGGCTGGGATTTGCGGGGGGCCGAGGGGTGGCGCTGGGCTACTTTCCGGTGTGCTCAGCTGAGCTGGGGATGCCGCTGGGGAGAGGGACGGCGGCGCCAGGGGGTGAATAAGGGGGCTGGAGGGCGGATGTGTGTGGGGCCAGCGTTGGGGGACAGGGGTTACAGCTCGTGGGGGGGGGGGGTGATGGGAGACTTGGGAGCAGAGGGACAAAAGTTCTCGTGCCGCTGGCTAGCTACATCTGTGTGCGAGAGGGGAGCGGACAAGCTGCTGCTGTGCCCGGCAGGGGACCGGGGAGGTAGGAGCGGAGCAAAGCTCCCTCTCTGGCTGCGCCTGGGACTGCACTGGAGAGACAACAAGAAACAAAAGTTTGGAGCTGCGGCTCCAGTAACTTACATATTGACCCCAACTCACCTACGACCGCTGACTGCATCAGCCTTGACAGCCCTGCTTTGAACCTGTCTCCTGTGTTCTAATCCCTCCCTTGAAAAGCAAGGGAAAACGATAATTTTGCCTGTTTGCTTAATTAGTTGTTTTCCCAACATGATTTATAATCAGAGCTTTGATTGTATGGTCTACTCACAGCTGAATCCAACAGCCTAATGTATGAAACTAGCATTTTGTAGATTGTAATTGAGATCTGCTGCCGATTTCAGGAGGCTTGTCTCCACCCTTTCTGGAAAGATTTGCTGACAACAGATACATGCTTCTCCTTGTCAACATTTATTAGAGGGGGCTCCTTGTGTGATAGGAAGAAAATTGATTGCATTACAACTTTTCTGCTGGTGGTTATTGTGCTCTGATCTGAAAACCATATTCTAAACATAAAACACTGTAGGTTGCCCCTGCACTCAATGTATCTAGAAAGACTTAGGGCTGAATGAATACAGGAGTGACACTGCTGAGGGTCAAAATGTTTGACAGTCATGCACCAAGGGACCACATCCCATTCACTGCTAAAGAGGAAGAGATAGACAGACAAGTAGAAAAAAAGAAATAGCAGCCAGAGAAGTTAAAAACCCTTTCCCCCTCCCTTTGTTTACAGACACTAGAGAACACTATTGACTAGGTGTCAGCTGTAAACCGTATGTACTTTTTCAGTCCTCTCCTGTTTCTTCTTAATTTCCTTCTTTTTTTCCCCTCTGTCTGATTTTTCTCTTCAGTTTCTGCTCTCTGTTTCTTTTCTGCGTTATGGCTGGTAAAGCTTCTCACACACATTCCAGTATGCCGGTCCCTTGGGCCTGGTGTACTGCGTGAGCCAAAGTTTGGCTTAACCCTCTCTGGCTTGCTGTGTAGAGGAGTGTACTGCTGCTAAGCACTAAGATCATAGAATCATAGAAGATTAGCGTTGGAAGAGACCTCAGGAGGTCATCTACTCCAACCCCTTGCTCAAAGCAGGATCAACCCCAACTAACTGATCCCAGCCAGGGCTTTGTCAAGCCTTAAAAACCTCTAAGGATGGAGATTCCACTACTTCCCTAGGTAACCCATTCCAGTGCTTCACCACCCTCCTAGTGAAATAGTTTTTCCTAATATCCAGCCGAGACCTCCCCCACTGCAACTTAAGACCATTGCTCCTTGTTCTGTCATTTGTCACCACTGAGAACAGCCTACCTCATCCTCTTTGGAACCCCCCTTTCAGGTAGTTGAAGGCTGCTATCAAATCCCCTTCTGCAAACTAAATAAGCCCAGTTCCCTCAGCCTCTCCTCATAAGTCATGTGCCCCAGCACCCTAATCATTTTTGTTACCTTCTGCTGGACTCTCTCCAGTTTGCCCACACTATAATGGGGGCCCAAAATTGGATGCAGTACTCCAGATGTGGCCACACCAGTGCTGAATAGAGGGGAATAATCACTTCCCGTGATCTGCTGGCAATGCTCCTACTAATGTAGCCTAACAAATCTTGGCAACAAGGGCACACTGTTGACTCATATCCAGCTTCTCGTTCACTTTAATTCCCAGGTCCTTGTCTGCAGAACTGCCGCTTCGTCAGTCGGTCCCCAGCCTGTAGCAGTGCATGGGATTCTTCCGTCCTAAGTGCAGGACTCTGCACTTGTCCTTGTTGAACCTCATCAGCCCAATCCTCCAATTTGTCTAGGTCACTGTGGACCTTATCCCTACCCTCCAGCATATCTACCTCTCCCCCCAGCTTAGTGTCATCTGCGAATGTGCTGAGAGTGCAATCCATCCCACCATCCAGGTCATTAATGAAGATGTTGAACAAAACTGGCCCCAGGACAGACCCCTGGGGCACTCCGCTTGATACCGGCTGCCAACTAGACATCGAGCCATTGATCACTACCCATTGAGCCCAACGATCTAGACTGCTTTCTATCCACCTTATAGTCCATTCATCCAATCCATATTTTTTTTAACTTGCTGGCAAGAATACTCTGGGAGACCGTATCAAAAGCTTTGCTAAAGTCAAGGTATATCACGTCCACAGCTTTTCCCCATGTTCAACGAGCCAGTTATTTCATCATAGAAGGCAATCAGGTTGGTCAGGCATGACTTGCCCTTGGTGAGTCCATATTGACCGTTCCTGATCACCTTCCTCTCTTCCAAGTGCTTCAATATGGATTCCTTGAGGATCTGCTCCATGATTTTTCCAGGGACTTGTTGTGTTCCTTTCTATTGATTTAAAATGCACATCCAAATGATTTTTCTTGTTATGGAGTGAGGGAAAGGGGTAAGTAAAATTGTCCTGAAAATCATTATATCCATACCAAGATACTTACACAAATCAAGTGTTTCTAAAGGCAAGTGTGTATCTTTGCATGACCTAATGGATTTGTTTTGGAATACATTGGAGCACTCTTACATTGTCAGGCATACTCCAAGTATTCACTGTTGGTGTTGGTCTTTTTTCTTTAGAAAAACATAAGCCAAAAGCTAGCGGAACTTATTAGAAGCTTTTGCCCTTCTTCCTTTTCAGATTTTTAGTGCATACATATTTTCACTTTCAGTATGCATTTCATACTGTAGCTTTAAGTATGGGAAGCTGTTGTTAATGTTAAGGTCTAAGAGATTGATAATGAAGTACAACAAACGTGATTAGGAATATGGAACAGCTTCCGTGTTAGGAGAGATTAAAAAAACTGGGACTGTTCAGCTTGGAAAAGAGATGACTAAGGGGGGGAGATATGACAGAGAGCTGTAAAATCACAAATGGTGTGGCGAAAGTGAATAAGGAAGTGTTATTTACCCCTTCACATAACACAAAAACCAGGGGTCACCCAATGAAATTAGTAGTCAGCAGGTTTAAAACAAACAAACAAAAGAAAGTGCTACTTCATCTAAATATACAGTCAATTTGTGGAACTTGTTGCCAAGGATTGTTGTGAAGGCCGAAAGTGTAACTGAGTTAAAAAAAAGAATTAGGTATGTTCATGGAGGATAGGTGCGTCAATGGCTATTTGGCAAGATTGTCAGAGATGCCACCCCATGCTCTGGGGGTCCCTGAAGCCTCTGACAGGCAGATGGTGGGACTGGACATCGGGATGGATCACATGATGATTGCTCTGTTCTGTTCATTCCCTTTGAATCATCTGGCACTGGCCACTGTAGAAAGATGAGATACTAGGCTAGATGTAACATTGGTCTTGACCCAGTGTGGTTATTCTTATGTTAGTAGGCTCTCAGATCTCAGTGAAATAATGTTAAAAATATCTAACAATTTTCTGTGATTTAAAATGTTCCAAAATCAATATGGCAGTTAAACAGCAATATTTATATAGAAAAAATAGCTGAAATTAAAAAAACCCACCCCAACCCATGATTTATAAATTTACTGTTATGAGACAGTGTTGTAGCTGCAGTGTTGGGGTGACATGGGTGGATTGGCATGTCATGTATGTGGGTTTGGAGGCAATTGTTTCATTTACTTCTCAAGTTCGTTTTAATGATGTCTCTTTAAAGCCTACCATAGATATGTGATCTGAGAACCCCTGCTCTACTGGTGGTCTGGTGAATGGGAAGATAAAGGTTGCAGCAGACTGCAGGCACTCTACAAATCAAAAATGTTGTCTGTATCTTTGTGACCCTGAGTTTACTTCCACAAGAGTATTGACTTGAGATCCCCGTGGAATGCTGTTTCTTGAATACGTTTGCAAATACCAGTCAGGGAGCATTGCTAAGATGATGATGATTATTATTTATTTTTGTGATCCATACCATGGATTAAAATTGAGCCAACAATATGCTGTAAAAATGTTGGCCATACCTGATACAATAAATGCAGGGCTATAAGGTGTACCTATCTGTTTTGTTGCTCTTCCATGTCTTTCCCCTCTCACCCCGCCTTTTGTGGTTTTTCTTGGCATTTTCGAATATATTAAGTTATATGCACACATTTGTGACGCTACACTTGAAAAGACCCAAACGTAGGGGAAAGGAATATATGAGATTTAAATGTCTAACATATTACATGTTAGTATTATGTTGAGTAACGTGTTTCAGGTGATTTATTTGGTAGATTCAAAGACAGATATAATCATAGACTATCAGGGTTGGAAGGAACCTCAGGAGGTCATCTAGTCCAACCCCTTGCTCAAAGCAGGACCAATTCCCAACTAAATCACATGTGCTGTGTATTGATCAAATATTAAGAAAGTCAACTCGCTTAATAGATCAAGGAATCAGATTTTTATTCTCTGAAATGGAATGGCAGTATTTAGTACATTTGAATGTAAAGAGGAGGAAGTGAGGTGTATTGTTTTTAAACTTAATTTGTTTAAAAACAAATTTATGAGTAATGGGAGGTTTGGTTGCCTTTTATG